GAGTTCAGATAGTTGAACTCAAAAATGTTCAAACATAAAACTTACGAAATTAAATCGTATATACACACCGTTTCAAAATAACATTTATAGCGATGTGATGTATATTTTAGAAATATGTTATGTTTCCTAAATCATCCGGCGCTATTCTATACAGCTGAACTGTAATTTTCCGATTCCTACGCGACAGAATTGAATTTCTACTGTTGCTGAATCAGTTGCTATCATAATCCAAATAGAAATAATGTATTAGATTCCATCCAAGTATATGTACATTCAGCTTCTCCCAAATTGTTAAATTTAAAATCCATTTAAAATTCACAGCTGTGACTGTGACAAAGGGTGTGTGCAAGTATTTAACGTGCATGTTGTGGCATGTATGATGGCTATTGTTTTGGTTTTGTTTATAGAATAGTAAATCGAATATTGAGTTTTTAATTCTATTAATGTTTGCCGTAAATAATACTATTAATTAAATATAGCTTGTGTCACTCGGGAATGTGTTTTGAATAAATAAACACACACATGCCTTCAATATATTAAAGCATTTGACAGAGTCATAATGTTGTATATGTTCACAAATATAAAAATTAACTTGTCTGTATGTCATGAGGGCCATATCTTGCTTCCAAACACTTCCTTGCTGTACGACACGGGGTTTATAACTTCCATACATTACTTCGTAGTACATTCCGAAGAGGAATCATGTTTTCGTCAAAACTAATGGCTTGTAAAGAATGACTTGTCTTAACATTAAAACAGATTTGTGTAGATCTACTGAAACTTGACTATAACTCAAAATGATATATGGTGGGTACGACAGGTGGAGGAGAATGTGCTTACTCTAATACATAGAATCACTCTAACACATATATTTTATTATTTACTGTATGCGTGAAATTTAATGACGGATTTGAATATTGTTTGTATATGTTGTTAATTCCACTTTCTTTGAGAAAAATATAAATTTTGAAAGACTGGATGACGTATTGTTTGATTGAAAGAAATTAATTTGTCACTCGATGGGACGGATTGACAGTAATTAGGCAAATATTTCAGTTGTTAACGAAACCTTTGATCTACGGTACATTATATTGAAAAAAAATGATTTGCTATAATTCGCGAAGTCAAGGCTAATAACGTTATATCGGATTACATTGAAAGTATTCCTGATATGTTCAAATTATTTATAGTATCATTCGTTCAGAAACAATATCCATTGACATACTATGATATATATCATTGCCAC